AAAAAAAAAAAAAAAAAGAAAGAAAAAAGAGTAGCATGCACTTAGAAGTTTAACTTGATGATTTGATGAGGCCTTCATGGAGGCTAAAAAACTATGGTTTGGAATCAGACTTCACAATGGTGGGTCCTTAGCCAAACATTCTGAATTTGAGTATTAGGTGATTTCAACCTCATAAGAGTCAGAGAAGAAAACAAACCCAAGTAATTTAATTATAATTTAATCTAAGAGATTTCTTATTCATAATAGGTAAATTAAGGTGCCAACCAGCCAGCAATATAAACAACACTATTTCATACATGAAAAAAAAGGGGGGGATACACTGTACTGCACGCATTCTGTCAGATCACAGAAACCTCACTAACAATGAACTGAAATCCAAACAACACAAATTGGAAGTTATTAATGACCTAATGTTTTAGACTAAAAAGCAATACCTTAGTGGCCAGGCCTAACTTAAATAACCTAACTTAAATAACAGAACCTTCTCAATATTAAAATATTCACAGGATCAAGATTCAGAAAAAAAGCAGCTAGCTCACAGAGGGGAAAAAAAATCTATACTAGCCTACTTAAACCCATCATCTCCAATGAACTCCAGGCCCCAGTTTTGGATATGTTCCACCAGACAAAGGCAATAGGAAGGTGACAGGGAGGTAGCATCTCCATGTTGACTAATCCACCTCCATGCCCATCCCTATTCATTCTCTGGCCCACCCTACACAGTGTAGACTCTACCAGGGGTCCTCAAACTTTTTAAACAGGGGGCCAGTTCACTGTCCCTCAGACCGTTGGAGGGCCGGACTGCAGCCCCCGGGACAAGTCAACTGCTAAGAAGGACAGGCAGTGGGGGCAAAAACACCTGGTGGGCTGGATAAATGTCCTAGGCGGGCCACATGTGGCCCGTGGGCCGTAGTTTGAGGATGCCTGCTGTAGACCTTTCTGCATACTTTGATTTAATGACTTCCTACCCTCAGGTATTAAAATCACCTGCAGAAATCCACACTGAAAACCTGAGCTTGAGAAATGTAGCAATAACTAACCCCTTGAGCAGAAAAATAAAACTTGAGTTCAAGCCCATCAGATTCAAATAGCAAGCCTGGATGAAAGAGAAAGACTGAAAGATTCCAAGTACTTTCTCAATGTATTAAATATCCATTTAATTTTAAATTAAGCTCACTGGCCTTATAATCACCTTTCCAGTCCTGTTCAGACTTGCCCGGGAAAAAGGATTAAAAGAACCTATAAATTTATGACCCAATCTGCCCTAATTAACTTCTGAAGTGTTCCTGCATCACAAGCAGAAAAAATATCAGTGAAACTGATACAGGAATTAACACCTTGGTAATCCATAAGGATTAGAGAAATCCATGGAAACAAATGAGTGACTTACCAGTCCCCTGATGTTTCATGATTTGCCAAGAAACTTAGAATGACCACAAATATCAATTTACCTGAATGGTCCCCATGCACTTGAGTGAGAAAGCCAGTGAAACACAGATGGCTCTGAGCAAAGGCCAGTATCATCTGAACTGTTTAAAATTATGAACTCATCTAAACATATTTCAAAGCCAGAACCCGTAGGAGTTGTTCTGATACAAGAATCAGAAGAGGGATAATGAAGTGTGTCTGTCTTCTAGCACTGGTCAAAGGGACACGTCATTGTTATGGTGGCAACACACACTTCTGAAAAGAATGTATCTGACAAAAGTAATCAAAGTAATGACCCCAGAACGGACCAGAAATGGACTAGTAAATTCAGGTTGCTTTTAGACTTCTCCATGCCGGTACACAAGAGGAAAGATGAAACTAACATTTAGTATAAAATATGCTATTTCTTCCATTTCACTGGTGAAAATTTTAAGTCTTTCAAAGGTTAACATCAAAGTTGAAAAATTAAGTGGGAGGGCCCAATTTCAAGACCAGTCTGAACGTGTTTTTCTCCCACATCATAAGGGGCTCTCCTGCAAATTAACAAGCTCAAATTTAAAAAGTGACTTGCCCCTCTACCTCTCACTCTCCTACCAATTCTCCCTGACTTTGTTGTTACAATTCAACTATCACTGTGTACCTACCATGTGCCCTGTGCAAGCTCCTCGATGCTGTCAGGGTGCAGAAGGAACAGACTTTCTACCTTCGCAAACCTTATTCAAATCAATTAAACGTGGAAATAAATGTTTTTCACACACCTTATGTGTGAAAGTGGCTCTACCTAACAAAACAGGGACTCTACTTAACAAAATCAAATATTTTGACCTGGTTGTTGGTACCCTAACATTAACCTGAAATAAATTTGCTTTGCAAAAAAAAAAAAAAAAAGAAAGAAAGAAATGTTTGTCAGATAGTACTAAGTTCTACAGACAAAAATAAAACAAAGAAGGAGGAACAGCAAATGAAGGAAAAACCATGTTAAACAGGATGCTGAGGGACAGACACCTTGAAAAGGTGACATTCATCCCCAATGACACAAAGCAAGTAGTAGGGATAACAGGAAAAAGGGTTCTCAACCCGTAAGCCTGCTGCAACATTGAGAACTCAAGAGTTTGGGGGCAAAACCTTGCTGCATATAGAGCAGTAACTGATGTGCACGTTTAATTTAAACATTTAAACACATTTGTTGAGACCTGAGCTCTAAGGAAGAAGCACATCACAGGAAGGCAGCCTGTGATGAGCAAACACACTTGGAGCCAGACCTACATGCCAACAACTGGAAGGCTTGGCTTTGGCAAGAGATTTTTGATCATGCCTTTCCAAAAAGAAAATTAAAGAAAAGCACTACATCCAGCCAGTGATTTCACCAAGGAATTTTAAGAAAGAAAATCCTACAATTTCTTCCTTATCCAGCAACCAGGGAATGACTGAGCAAATTCACACAAGTTCGCCAGGGCTGCTTTCCTGTAACTCAAGGACAATACATGACCAACACAGTGGGACTGTAAAGCTTGCCGAGTAAAGACTATGACGAGGAGGAAATATCAAAATTCAAAGACTTAAATGATGTGGTTTCAGTATAAAAACCAGCTAGTGTCGTGAGGAGTCACAAAGTTGAGGGGTATGAATAAATAAGCAGAAATATAGTAAGTATTTTTCCTCTTCCCTCATTTCAACTTTATACTGAAAAAAAAATTAATATTTTACTGCTATGACACATTCATTTCATGTCCAACAGGACTCACCTAGTTTTAATGCAATTATTTCATTTATATAAATTAACACTATCCCTCAATGCCTACCCACAGCAAATCTGTTATAGCGCTGATTAAAATAACAACTGTGGCCACAATCTCCTGCTGCACTTTAATATAGAGATTATCAGCCTTTTTCTTCATAGCATACACTGCAGACACCATCACAACAATGTACCAACACTGTGTGTGTAAGACCTATAAAGATCAGTTAAGAGCAAAAGT